AATCAGTGTATGGCCCTGATTAAAACGCCATAAGCAGTACAATGCATACCAACTCTGAGCCCTTTACATTCACTATTGTGTCCTACATGGTGAAACCATATCCGTGGCATCGAGGAAAACCGTCTTTCTGCCACTCGGCCTTAACGGTTTGGTTTGGTTCTTCTTAACGCCGCGCTTAGCAATATTCCAGCTATATTGCGGCAGTCTGTAAATAATTGAGTGTGGACCACACAATCCATTGATCAATATCGTGAGCGTCGATATACACAAATGGGATGCGATACATGTGTCAACCAAGTCAGCGAGCCTGACCCCCCGATTCCGTTAGTCGCCTCTTACCACAATCATGGGATGTTGAAGGCCAATTCTAACCCGGATCTGCATGGGTCGGCTTTAAGGGGAAACAAAAACTTGCAAGCATGGTGTAAGTATAATATATCAGGGTCTTGTATCCATCTGGCATGGTGTCTCACTTTGCTATCACGATCCAATATCCGACTAAGTCTAGACTAGTACCACTAGACACGCAAACGCACACGAAACATCATCCACGTATATAAAATCACTGATCTTGAACTCGACATTATACCACGATTCATGCAGAGTTTCAATGTTCAAAGATAAAGTTTGAATCGTACACAGTTGATAATACTCTTATCTAATAACATGCAAGATGTTTAGACTACCTATAGTCATAAAAAAATTACAGGCACTGATATTCTCGTGTTTGACATCATATAAGAACTCGTTCAAGGGTAAATCATGTGACGGGGTGTCGTACATTTAATGAGTTGCCTGAGAGATTAGTTCTTGAAATGAGGAATGGTATTTCCTTTAAAACTCTCAACTTAAATGCTTAAGCTTGTTTTTGTGGTTGAATAACGAGTCATTGTCTTGATATAATTACAGATGCCTTAGATGTACCTCTCTCACTGAATGGAAAGTGTGGTTACGTAGAAAAGTATTTGGCTAGGAATGGATACGACTACTCATTTTATCTCTTGATGAAAACTGTGACAACAAGAGACCATACGTATGCGCAGCAGCCACAGGTGAGAATATTCATAATCAGAATACATTAATATACAAGCGAAGGAATCTCATCGCATGTGACTATGTTATAATTCTGTTAACATATCTTGGCCTACTTTTGGAATACAGCACCACAAACTTCACAAATTACGTCACAATACCTTATGGCGCAATTTGTGAAACTTTGTTACCGATGAAGAAGAAGAAATATCGTGTATTGCTGTTTCACATGCTGAATTACAATAAAAGGCATTTCATTAAATTCAGGGATTTAAAAACAGCATCCGGCCATATGGTCTATGAGACACAAATAACACAGTCACTGATAATAAAGTCCCACCAACATATACAAATACGCAAGCCCAAACATACATAGTACATACACGCGCGCGCGCGCACGCTCACACACATACACAAACACACACATTCACGTTCTTACACTTATAAACATAACATATATAAAAAGCAAACATGGTGGCAAATGAATGCTGACATTATTGATAATAGAATAAACTATTCTACCGAAATATATATTTCGGCGCCTAAACATAGTATGGAGGAGTGCGGCAAGGGGCTTTACGAACTGGTTATTAATAAGTAAAAATACCATTTTGTCTACTGCTGACATAGATGGGAATAAAGGATGGACACTTGTTATTTCTTTCCAAAGATTATATCTGAGATCTGAATAATAATCACAGTTAACCAGAAAATGTAATTCGTCCTCAACAGCTTTGCTAGTACAGTTAGTACAGACCCTTTCATGAAGGGGAGACTTCGGACGAGATTATCTACCCAGTTCTACCTCTAAGGACAAAGTGCCACAACGGAATTTACTCAAGATACTACGATGTGATCTAGGTAGAATTATTTCAACATAAAGATCTACCTGTAATAAATCATTAAAAAGACGATCAAACTGAAAACATTGTTCTACCTGTAATACATCTTTAAAAAGACGACAAGTACGTAATTTATTTCCATTGTCTTGCCCTTTATCATTCCAAAAGCCTTTAGATGTTCTTTAGCAACAACAACCCCTAATGTGAAATTCTAAATAGGTCAATCATAGGTAAATGAAAACTAACTAATAACTTATGAACTCCAATATACCAAGATCACCACTGTTGTACGGAAGGTTTACGCCAAAAACGAAGAACCTCAATGTTTTGCTTAGAATACTGAGAAACCCAGCCCATTTTGCCACGAACTGCTAAATTTGGGGGTTTGCTACCGACTGCTAAATAGAATCTAGCTACATTAATACAACTATACTACCGTGTTCCCCAAACACCATATGACAGAATGGGCTGAACAAGATCATCATATAACTTATTGTTAACTTTATAATCCATACCATCAACTTACAAAGCATCACACCCACTGTTAGCAGACTTAGCTATTTCCTAAGCAGTAAAATGTAAATCAAGATTCTCATGCAGCCACAGCACTTGTAAGCTCAATGACCTCACTACCCAATGAAAACACAAACTCTGCGCGTTTAACAGAACAAGCACGGTAATGTACAACTTCAACCAAGATCATCCAACGTGTACACCATCCAGCAACACAATCTAGCATACGCTGTGAAGATTGCTCATCAGATACAATCAAAGCAGCACCATCAGCATAAAACAATGAGCTCAACATATCTCCATCAACAATTATACCACAATGTAAACTGTCTATTTTGTTAGCTAGATCATTAATATAAACTGAAATAAGTGTCGGCGACATGTCACAAAACCAGGGGCGTAGCTACCATTGTAAAAGAAAGGTCCGGGCTTACACATGATTGTATACTAAAAAAAGGTTGGACAAGCCCCTAGTACTATCTAAATATAAAGCTTTGCAACCTATCGGGCTTACACCAAAACAATTGGCTTGCTACGCGCCTGAAAACACAACCTTAACGTACACCCGAGTTTACATCAAACACATCAGTGAAGCTATCATTAATACGAACTCGTGATAACGTGCCATTATTTACCAAAAACAATGCTCTATGGCGTCTAACTGTTGCTGGGTTATCGAGTGTGCTTCAGTTCTCAGTGTTCTGTCGTCTCCATACGCATTGTCATTATGTAAGCCGTGCGTTGTAGGGAGTTTGTGTGGCAAACAGACGGTGGCTGTGCTACCAATGTTGCGAATTACTGAATGAATAATAAAGAAAATAAAATAGAACATTAATGACTCAAAATAATTTTGGTATGAACTGAACTATTTAAATAGAAAGAAAGAGTAGTTTCACGCAAGAGTGGTTTCAACACTTCAGAACATTGTTTTCAGGCGAAAATGTAGATAATGAGAGAAATACTGAAAGTGATGATCATGCTTTTTTTGTTAAATAATAACCCAAACAAATTCTTTGACTTTCCAATATCCAGAGAAAATATCTTAGATGGCATAAACATCCGTAAACTCAACTACTACCTTATCTTTGGTTAGTTGTCAATCTGATGTCAGAAAGAGGGACATTTCCTACCGCCTGTTCTGTTAGGATAATAGTTCCTCTACACAAGCAAGGTAACTTGAACAATGTTGATAACCACAGGGGAATCACACTGTTAAGCATATTTAGTAAAGTTTTCACCTCAGTCATCAACCAAAGATTATTTTCTTTTAGAAACATGAATAAATTAATTGAATCCCAGGCTTGATTTAGACAGGGATATACAGCAATTGATGACATGTTTATATTACAGAGTGTGATACTATGATATTAAAATACTAAGTACCCTTATTCAATAGGGGCCGCCATATAGCTGTAATATTGCTGAGTGCGACATAAACTAAACTCACTCACTCACTCAATAGAGATACATGTAATTAGACCGGAAACTAGCGATATGTGCATGTCAATATTACGTTTATGTGAATGATATAAACCATACTTCAATGGTTCAATTCTACAGTTTTATCATGCACATATCAGAAGGATTTTAGGCTCAAAACGTTTTGATTACCCCTCGTGGTATCGAGGGTAACAATGCTAATGGCATTGGTCCTCAAAGACGTAACTGACAATATCGATGATTCGAAAATCTGAACATAAATGCCGGCTTTTTGATAAAAAACACTGATTCTCTAACTGACTCAGCTGCGCTTCCAGGGAGATATCTGGGCTGCTTATAGAGACAGCAACGGCTGTAGATGAGCTTATCCAACATTTCAGCGCCTAGATCACCTAAACCCCATTTTCTGCACTTTCAAAAGTTTAATCTGTAAAAATATCCTAATGATAACTGATATTACCCATATAGTATATTATATATAATAATATATTACAAGTCTATAGTGAATATGATAATAAACGTCAAACACACTAAGATGATGTGTTTGAAAATCTAAAGGAAAGTACATAAGTAATGCAAATCCGCTAATTTCATCTGAGAGTATTATTATGGCAATAAACTGATGAAAATATTAAACTCCATTTGGGCCTTTGAGCATTGATCCATCCTAATTCGAACTATCATCACAGTTTCTATTCTTTAATCGATTAGTTGTCGATCGCGATCAATCTCTGTGGAGAGGATCTTGTATAAAATCATTTCCTAAGTTAGAAGTACATGTATACTGATAGTGATTGTCTACAGCGTTTGCTATTATCATAAATATTATTGTTCAGAGGGTCTGTGGTGAGTTAGCCTAGTGGATAAAGAGTTCTCTTCTTACTCCGAAAACCCGGGTCCCGTGACGTGAAATTGCTGGAATATTGCTAAAAGCGGCGTAAAACCAAACTCACTCACTCACGTGTCCTTAGTTTAAACAGAATACATGGAAATGTTAATGTCAAATGGTTTACTACTGTTAACGTGGCCGACCCGCATCTCCTACTCCGATACATTACTATTAGATGCCAAAACAAATAGATACTAGGTAGTAGGTCTAGTGGCTGTGGGTGAGGTTTGACGTTATGTTGGGAATGACTGACTGTATATTGTGACACTTGTACCTTTTAGGTTGTTTTGGGGTCCGGTGTATAAAGACAACGCCAAGGACATGGGAACATGCATATAGGAGCTGTACATTGGCTAAACCTACCTACTCAAACATCCGGTATATTCAAAGAAATCGTCCATATTGGATTGGTTTGGAAAGATCCGTAGAAAGTAAATGGATTAACGGTAAAGTACGATGAAGAATATGTATTAATAATTCGTTTCTGTTTCTTATGATTGGACGTACTAACAAAATTTAGTTTACTGAATCTGTCGGTATGCATGAAATCAAACTGTGTTAATTATATCATCTTAATTATAGATAAATATTATCTGTAAAATAACCTTGACTTTTGTATATTTTTATGACGTACCTAGTATATTTAGTCAATTAAAGACTGAAAATATATGACTGAAATACGTCATATCTTGCTTTATAAGGAAAACATATGAAAGAAACAGTGGCAACGGTGTCTTAAATAGAAAAAGCTGGAATTGTTTCTATTTTCTATGTAAATTACTTCCCTTTAGCACTGAATGAAAACTACTAAAATCATATCGTATCTTAACAGGGACACCAACTCAAAGCAACAGTGACAGCTATTACCAAGACCGGCGGTGTCTTGGTGTGCGTAGCAATGGTTCATCCTTGCTCTTCTACTGGTACAATTGTAGTCGTCGGCTTCCAGCTCTTTGCAACACAGGTAAAACACTTCAACCATCATGGACTCTTGTCAAACAACAAACACAACAGGCCATGATTTAACTTACCATCTAATTACTTTTACAGTAAAACGTGAATCAACGCCATTGATAGGTGAAACTACGTCAACAGTACAGCCATCGACAAAAGTGCTACGGGCATCGACACATCGTTCTTCAGCTGTGACAATATTTCCGGCGTCGACTCCTGAACCGACAGTCTCAACTCCGACGGATTTCTCACCAACCGACCCTACACCGACATCTGGAGAACGTACCACCTCTCATCCCGTGAAAGGTTTTGTTAACAAAGGAACAGACAATGGAGAAGATCACCCAACTGGGTTTACAGGTACCGCCGTTTATGAATGCATAATCATCAATTAAGTTTCTTGGTTCACTGCAACAGTGTTAATAATCATGAATAGTGCATACATTCTCAACGGTATTATACGTAAGGTGAAAACAAATAAGTCTCATATGTTGGTGGTATAACTCAAAATGACATCCGACTGTGTTTTGTATGCGTCTGTCCTTCCGGTCTTTTTAAATTACTGTGGGAGGGTAGGGCCAATTATTCAATCATTTGACCTGTCAGGTTTAAATGAGTATTCAATAAGTTCGTACTATGACTAAGCAATAAACTCTAATCTGGTAAATGTAACTCATACTCCTCGACCATCTCTAGCACAGTTACTGGACGCAGGTACCCTAGCGGTAGAAGGCGATGGAAAGTTCGGAAAATTCGACCAGAATTATCCATATGTCTTACCCAGATCCTAATGATTTCGTATCTGCAATGTTGTCATGTGACGGATACCCGGATGCATTTCGCGGACGTGTCCGGTCGTCTACTGTCAGGAATCGGAATCATCCATTTGGTTTTGTGTCATATCTACGAAACATTTACATATTCGCATATAGAAACAACAATGTTTCATCTGATAAGAAAAAATAACTTTACTAGCTGTCACAATACGCTAGTGAGAGAGCGAGTGTCAAAAGCGTGATCAGCGCAGTTCCAAATAAAACATGAACTATAGTCCAAGTTGGGATAAACGTTCGGCTCTTACAGGGTGATAGGAATGTGAGGAATTCGTTGATTTTATAGTAATTTCACGAACGGAAATGAATGAAAGCGTTTTAAGGCAACACACACTTGAATTACCTTCATGCCCTTGTAATTACCTTAAGACATTCTTGCATGTTGGACAAGTGCAGTTATAATGCTCTCTGCTAAGTATTCTCCCATTTATTTCAGTGATCTACATAGTGGGTGCAGTGGGTGTCCTGGCGGTGGGGATTGTTATCACCCTGGTTCTTGTGTTCTTGAAAAGGTGGGTATACAAATCATGTGAGGGGATGGGGTTTTTTGTTGTGCAATCAAAATCACAATATTTTAATAACAATTAGTTAGTCTATCCAATAGGAAACAATGCCTCACAGTGTGTCGATGAATGAGTAGCACCATATTCTACAATTGATTGAAAAATTATAATTTATTTATTGTGATGACCATATTCGAATTTCAAGTTCATCGTGACTGTGTATCCTATACACGTGTATACATGCTAGTGGATGGATTTATAACTTATTCATGCACGATCCTTTCTTTAGACAAAGGCGCTACTGTTTCAAGTTGGAAGACGAGAGAGAAGATGGTGTCCATTATGACAGAGGTGTAGAAAACCGATCTTATTCTCCTGCTGGTCCAGGGTCACAAAGTGCCGCAAATGAAGAAGCACATCCTTCTCCAGCACGAACTGAAAGGAAAGCCCCTATGTCAACAAAGAAGTCAAATATTCCTAATGAAAATACCGTCAGCAACAACGGTTTCAAACAAGACGAAAGTGTTAACAACGTCCCGGACGAAACGTCTCCTGCAAAGCCATCACGAACTGGACACCTAAATGTAAGGAAAAGCACCGCTGCCGATCCTTCTGACAAAGGAGCATGTTTTGAGGACGAGGGTCAATACAACGTCCTACACGGGAAAGTGTTTGCAGGGGAAAGTAACTCTGGAATGTATGGTCACCTTGGTCAAGGTGTAGGTGATGTGGAGTATGATACAACAAGGCATGTGCAAAATACAGGACGGTTCAACGATACATACAACCACATTGGCCCGAACAAGGAACCTAACGCTGATGATGAAGGTCAATATAATGTGTTACGCAGAGAACGACCCCAATCAGCAGCTGATGGCAGTACAGGAATATATGACCACGCAACAACCAGTGCAGACCAACGGAGCAAGGCCCCAGCCGTACAAAGACCGAGTCACCAAGTGGTGGATGACATATACAGTCACGTTGACAGAGCCAGCAAGAGACCGATGCAAGATAAAGTCGATATCACGATGGAAGGCAAGGAATATAAACGTGATGACGCAAAGAACATTGGTAAAGTGGACGTTGAGTGTGGCAGCGCAGGTGTTTTGGATGGTAACAGTACAGAACACGTGTACGGTAACACGGGGGAGATAATCGGTCCCTGCAATAGACCGCGATGTGTTGAGGATGAAGCCGACTATTATAACATTGACTCAGTACGAGAGTCCAAGCTGGGCAGTACGTCAAAGGAAGACGAGGAGGTCGGAAACAACGTATACAGTCTTGCACATGGATTTTCTGACAAATAAAACTGGGAGTGAGTATGGTTTTAAGCCGCTTTTAGCAATATTCCAGCAATATCACGGCGGGGGACACCAGAAATGGGCTTCACAAATTTTACCCATAAGGGGCATCGAACCTGGATCTTCGGCGTGACGGACACTTTATCGATTTGGCTACCCCACCGCCCGGCCTATTATGGAACATATTTAAGGTAAAAGGGAGGTATTTGTTTTACTGTTTGTTTACTGGTTGTAGGAAGCCTACACCTGTATTTACACTTGACACAATGTATCCCTGTAAATTTAATGTGCTTAAATGTATGTATAGCGACGTGGTACCTTCTTTTAAGCTTTGCTTTCGTACTATACAGATCTATTTGACAAGTCATGAAGTGTTAGTTAAGGATGTATGCTCTCACTGTTACTGTTTTACATGGACATACATAAGCTGGAAAGTGTTATGAAGGTGATGGCACTCATGGTATCTTCATTGATTGTGATATTGGTGAAATATACTGAGAGAAACAAATAAAGGATCAAAGGAAAATTCAAGCGTTCCTTTATTATTTTCCAGTTTTCATCAGCACAGCGCTATTCAAAGCTGTTGATGAAAACTGGAAAATATTAAAGGAACGCTTGAATTTTCCTGTGATCCTTTATTTGTTTCTCTCAGTATATGTTTGCTCTTATTTGCAGATAATGTGTCAATACTTGCTGATTCTGTTATAAATCTGCAAAAAAATATAACTACTTTTGAAAGGTACTGCTACACATAAAAATAACAGTAAACTTCAATAATTGTAATATTATGGTATTTAAAAACGGAGGACCTCTATCATAATGTGAAAATGGTTTATTAATGGTGAACAGATAGAAGTGGTGTGATGCTATAAATATCTTGGTGTCGTAATTTCATTTCGAAGTACATTCACTTAAGCATGTTGTACTTTAGCTAAACAGACAAACAGTGCTGTAGTAACTATAAAAATATTGTTCAAATATCCAGACGTAAACTTTAATACATATTTTATATCATTGATTGTAAAATCATAGCTCTACCCATTTTGCGATATGGTGCACAAAAATGGTATACAGAAGAAATGCAAAGCATTGAAATTGTAAATATTAAATATTGTTTATATACTTTGAAAATAGGAAACAGATCTTCAAATACTGCGGTATTAGGTGAAGTGGGAAGAATGTAGGAAAATGGGAGGGTAACTAAATATTGGATTAGGCTAATATGAATGCCTCTAGGCAAATATCCAAAACACTGTTATTTCACGCAGTGTAAATGTGATTAATTAAATTGCAAGATGTACATTGTTTGGTTATAGATTTCGTAATGTATGATTGCTACACAAATGTATGCTAGTGTCCAATGATCATGACTTGACCGTCTATACAATTTCTCTAATCAAGCTTTAAGACGAACACCATCTCCTGTTTATATAGGCAGCTTATACGCACTTAAATCATAGGGGTGGGTATTGCAGAGAATTTTCATATTGCGATATATTGCGATGCGGAAGCATTTATTGCGATATGTATTGCAATATATTGCAAGGATTATTTCTTTAACAAAAACTACTTATAATCGAGTTAATGCTTGATTATAAGCAAAAACACAACAAAATCACTATGATTGATTAACCGTTTATAAAAAATTTAATCATGACAAAATAAAAATGTAATTAACATTTGGCACTAATGAAACAGGGAAAAGAACAATTCAAAAAACAGAAATATCCGAAGATTTCCGAGTGTTACGAAGTTTTCCGAATGCATGTCAAAATACCGGTTTTCGATCAGCGTATCGCAATATAATACCTATCGTTTTCATGTCTGAACCTGTAAATACCGGTAAACCGGTTATATTGCGCAGCCCTAGTAAATCATGATATTTGCCTTTGTTTTAGTATGAACATCCTACCATGCACAAGCTTGTTTTGTTACTCACAACAAATGAGTGTTTTACTCCAGATGGCTCATTACTAAGAAGAATTATCTAAACTTAGAAACTCCAAACCAATATATACAGTATATGTAAATAGACGAGTCCAGATTGGCTCGGATTGTTCCATGTTTGTTAGTACAATGCCCGTGCACGTGATAAACGTGAAAGACCTGCATCACCTCGGATGTTCTTCTCACATCAAGCTGAAACCCCGTGATACAACTGAAATGCCATTCAAAGCTGCTACAAACACAGTCCACTCACTTAAAGAAGAGTTTTGTATGGATGTCAGCGTCTTTATTATGATGAACACAACGTGTCGGAGTATATCCTGATGAAGGAGTAAGGATATACTCCGAAACGTTGTGACTCGTTGTGACACCGATAAAAACTCCCTTCCTTATGTGTATCACTTCTAAATGCCATTCAAAGACCTAACCCACTCTTTCAGTTACAAACTATAATTTTAATGTTTTGTCAATTTACAGCTTGTATATTCAGCAGTATTGCTTTATGTTACCCCTTAAACATGCCCGTTGAATGATGTGAATAGTCCAATATTACTATATGTTTATTACCATATTTCTGATTCTGTAGGTGTATATATAATAGTTAAAAGTATTAAAGACTTCATGTGGATGTAATAGTCAACCATTCCTTTGAGCTACGCTTCCAAACTACATATTTTTATTTAGATACGGAACATCTTTTCAAAGATGACACTTGTCATGTGTTAATGTAGCTGTGAATTCTTCAGTGACAGAATTAATCACAAAATATAAAATCATCAATATCTTGCTAAAGAGGTAGGCTGAATACAGGTACAATGTGATTCTGTAGATTACTCTGTTTTCCCCATGTACTTTGTTGTATGTTAGACATTTTGATTTGTTTTTTCTTTTGTCAGCTTATTTAACATTTTCATATTTCCTTGTGTTTACTTTTGCATGAATTGATGTTTTCTTTTCTACACTTTGGTTTAGTTACATGTCTAATCAACACATTTTGTATTGTTATAAATTGAACGTATTGAATAAAGTAAGTTAGCATGCATTTTAACTTATTTTAAAATATTTGTTTGCTCCAATGTCCGTTATTCTTGTAATTTGTACAGACAAACACATGTAAATATACAATAGGACTGTTGTTTATCCTTCCTCTTCAACGCACTAAAGTATAAAATTATGTTATTTATATCATGTGTCTATTCAATCTTTAAATTTGTATTTTCTTTTACATCGAATAAAGAGTTTTATTGTTATATGTTCGTGTACAGAATCACAATTATCGGTGTAAAACAATTGAATAGCATGCTTGTGAGATTTGCCAGGGAAATGGTAATTTACAAGCAGTCCAGGGCCTAGATTTTCGAAGCTCTCTTAGCCCTAAGATAGTCGTAAGTGTCATACATTAACATTAACTTACGACTATCTTGGCGCCTAAGAGAGCTTCGAAAATCTAGGCCCTGGGCCTCCACAAAGCCACCGTTGCTCCAGGACTTTAACACACACATACTACAGGCAGGCATAGCTGTACTGTCGCTGTGTAAAACAGTGCCCAGCATAATCACAAAATACCTTTGAGGTAATCATCATGACAGAGTTTGGGGGAACCCAAACCATCGAATTTTATACCAGTATTGGCTGGTGTGAGGAAGTCAATGAGGTTTAGCTTTATAGTTGTCAAAACCACAGACATAAAAAGTATTAAGTATTTTACAAACAAGTTATAATTTTTCATCTTTAACCATTTAACGTTTTCTCAGGAGCAACACAAAATGATTATAAAGAGTGATCTCATTTTATCCAGATCGGCCGGAATAAATGAAATTGAAATGTCGGGAATTGCCAAACGGGTAATTTTTCGGAATTAACCAACATATTTTGCATCTTAAAATGATTGAAGATTGCTAACAAGAAAGCGAGGTTTAAAGTGTTTAAAGCGAGGGTCGAACTGTGAAGTGCATTCTATTAACTCGTACATCTTCAACTTTTATGAAACCCGTGAAGATCCCGTTTAGAACTGGTCTTCGGCAACCCATGCTTGTCGTAAGAATCGACTACCGGGATCGGGTGGTCAGGCTCGCTGACTTATTGACACCTGTCATTGCATTCCAATTGTGTAGATCGATGCCCATGCTGCTGATCACTGGATTGCCTGGTCCAGACTCGATTATTTACAGATCGCCACCATATAACATTGCTGAATGCGGCGTTAAACAACAACCAAACCAACCAATTGCTAACCAAACCAATCCCCCTTTGTGCCTGTGCTTCTCGAGTGAAATGTAATACCCACAGGAAACAGTTTGAGAGAGAAAGGAAGGGGGTCATGTATTCAAATGACTGAGCTTCCTTTGTATCATTTTATGATGGACGATACAGACACGCGTACTTAAGACCATTGTAGGTTTAAGGGCACAACACACGTTGTCTGAAGCTGTCAAAGTAGCTTCCTGACTGGGGCATCCATCAGCTCTAAGCGATGTATTTAAACTGGACCAACTTCACGCTAAAAACAGTATTATTTCTATTAGTGAGCTGCTATGTGTACGCAGAGAACAACTGTAAGTATGTGTCACTACCCTTGTGTATAGTTCTATCATTCATATGTACACGTCATTCACGGTGCTTCAATAATGTATGATGTTACTGTCAGTAGAATGTAGGTCATCATCATATTACAAACTGATGGAAATTAGTATGAAATATAACTTAATGCATCGGCAGAACCTTTGTTTTAATTATAATATGTCCATGCAATACAATGATTAGTTTATTTGAGTAAGTGAGTATGATTTTACGCCGCGTTTAGCAATATTCCAGCAATATCACGGAGGGGGACACCAGAAATGGGCTTCACACATTGTACCCATGTGGGGAATCGAACCCGGGTCCTCGGCGTGACAAGCGAACGCTTTAACCACCAGGCTACCCCACAGCTCCCATAATTATAATATGTAGTAGTAGTAGTAGTAGTAGTAAGCTTCACACATTGTACCCATGTGTACTTTATTGTGATACAAAGTCATTCTATTTGTGATCAAATCATAGAAGGTGCACAGTGTCATAATCTTTTTAAAGTATTTTCTGAGGATGCACATACACGTGTTGCTGAATTCATTATCGATTGTATTTTCATCAGTGTATAACTTTATATCAGAAATAGCAACTGTTCACCGGGAATTTAATCTTCCTTATCAACAGGGTACAGACGATTCTTTCCACAGACACAAATCTAACGCTACTAACGCCCAAGGAAGCAGCATGCATCTCTGTACAGTAAATCTATCATAGGATATCCTGCTTGTGTCCTGTGCTGTTGTGTGCCAGGCTGACTCACGCTCACAACCAATGAGTTGCCCCACCTAAGGGTGATGACATAAAGATAGCATTCCCTATATACTGAATCTTGTTATCAATCGTAATAAAGCCTGGTCGCTTTGTCTGAATGCCAGAAAGATATTAATGATCTGAAGGAATGGTTAGATGTCTCAGATACTTACAAATAGTCCTTCATGGCGTGACAAAACGTGAATACGGGTTATTTAAAATTATTTGTTCAATTAGAAATGAAGAAGTGTCTCTCTGATTTAATGATCATGTGAGAGTGTGAGGATATCATACGCAGATCTGTAGGGAGGGGCGTCCACCCCTCTTCCCCACCCTACTCTAACCACACACCGCCCCACCATGACGGCTAATTGTGTACCACTGATGATCGGACCTTTGTCGCTGTAATGTCACAACTGGGACTTAACTGTTCACTCAGCTTCTTAAATTGTTGCTAGACATCATAGCCACAAAGCCTTCTCTATAATCATGCGAGATCGGACACAGCATAAAACTGTGAATATTCCTTTAGTACTTTGATGTGTGTCGCCTTAATTTTTTAAATCGAAGTAGCTCGAATTAATTAAGACTTAACGATATGGTTATCGTAAATATTCTTTGTCAGCCTACAAGTACAATATCTGTCTATACATAAATACCTACATATGCACACAAACGCGCGTACGCACGCACACACGCACACTTCTCAAATTGGGATCTCTCCTTTCATAACTCCCTGACCTGTCCCTAACAGCGACACTTGACCTCTACATCAGAGATGATGTCTCCAGTTGGACGGAAGCTCGAAGCGCCTGCAGCGGAGATCTGTACGTCCCCAATGATGACAGCGTTCCCAGCAGCGTGTCTGCCAAGATGCTGTTGAACACCTACTACTGGATCGGTGCCATACAGTATTCAACGTGGATATGGACACGTAAGCGGCTTAGTTGATTTATATGCTGGTGCTGCCTACCGTCTATCAGCAGTCGGGAGGTTGGGTAGCCTTGCGGTTAAAGCGTTTGAAGACCCGAGTTCGATTACCCACATGGTACAATGGTGTCCCCCACTGTGAAATTGCCGGAATAGTGTTAAAAGCGGCGTAAAACTAAACTCACTCAGCAGCATCCCGATTGCGTAGATCGATGTTCATGCTGTTGATCACTGGACTGTCGGGTCCAGACTTGATTATTTACAGACCTCCGCCATATAGCTGGAATACTGCTGAGTGCGGCGTAAAACTAAACTCACTCACTCACTCAGCAGCATGGAATGTCACATGACATGATGACTTCAGTATTTTGAATAATACATACACACATGTACACGTTTAGGTTAACATTTATTTGAATGTATTAATACGATCGAACGATAAACCATGTGTCCAAATGGATTTTCGTAGTTTTCATTACAATATTCTGATGCCATGATTTTTCATGCTTATTATGGTGCATAGCTGGGAATATATGTAGTAATTCGAACTTAATTACTAAAGAAAGACACTGTATAGTTATCCACTATTTATTGTATTAGTGGAACTGATTTTTATATTCATTTCATAATTAATCAAAACAACTCATACTAAACTCTCCTACAGAAGACAACACGCCCCTGTACAACTACATCGGTCTGAGGACACTCCCCCTCGGTCGACTACCATCAACAAGCAATGCCTGGAACTCCGTCCACAACTGTCACGTTCATTGTGGGGAGGATTGTACAGTGCTCGGGCTCAGGGTATGTGAACATGGATCGTCTTCCTTTTACATGTAATTTAGTATATCATCATCGTTTGAAGTGCTGGTTATTCAAAAGCATAGTTAACATTAAAAATAGGAAACCATAAAACCTACAAATAAAGTGACAGTATCACAGTATGAATAAACTGCGACTGGTAATCATTTTGCTGAGCAATTCCTATGTTTGGGGAAGATCCTTTGTCTCCTGTATTTTGGGAAGATCCGGATGTGGTGGTTGCGGACCTGAGTGTGTGTCATACCATGATGGTGATGGTAGGTGCTCTTGACATCAACCACTCGTTTGTCAGGTTCTGGTTCGGAGATCCGGCCGCGTCATACCAAAAGACGTTAAAATATGATACTTGTTGGTCCCTGCCTGGCGCTCGGCATTAATGGGTACAACAAGGACTGGTCGGCTCGGAGTCAGTATAATGTGTCTGAGTGGGGTATTCATGCTTCACTGCGGCGTGGTATCTCAGTGGGGTAGCACTATAAACCAAGCTTCAGTCTGGGCTAGTACAAGGAGCCCGCACATACACATACACCCGCATGCACGTCGTCATATGAGCGAAATATTCTCAAGCACGACGTTTAACCCAATTTCACCTCACCTCACCTGGTTCGGAGATAGACAGATAGATAGACAGACAGGCATAGATAGACTGATAGACAGATAGATAGACAGACCGGCATAGATAGACTGATAGATAGACAGAGATAGATAGACTTATAGACAGATAGATAGATATATAGACAGACAGAGGGATAGACAGACAGATAGATAAATAGATAGATAGATAGACTGACAGACAGACGAATAGACAGACAGACATATAGGGGATAAATAGATAGACAGAAAGATAGATAGATATATAGAGTGATAGATAGATATATGATAGATAGACAGACAGATAGATAGATAGATAGACACATAGATGGATAGATAGATAGATCTATTTTCGTTGTTAGATGCAGGTGTACTGGAAACAATGCGTTATTTTGTTACAGATGAACGCGTGTTACTGTCTATGTACAGATGAAGATGTAAGCTTACCGGATGTATCCACAGAGGTCAAGTGCCCTGGAAATTGGGATGAAAAGTGTGGAAACAATTCAGGGTTGTCCGTCTATAAGCTAGGTACAGTGAACCCGTTAATCCGGAATGCACCATTCCGAGTATATACCATCGTCTGTATAAACACATTTCGAAATGAAGGAATCATGGCTACGGAGTAATCTCCCTTTGTTTGCGTGTAGTTGTACCCAGAAGTTCATTAGATGGGTTCAGGATTTTTTGGGAAAGTTATTAAAATTTTGTTTGCGTTGTATTTGTAATCTTAGGTCAGTGAGGTTTCTGGCAAATGCTCACTTACCTGAGCGGTAAGAGTGAGCACATATTATTGAAAGCCGCACCAGTGCTCAGAGTTCAAACGTTAACCTTATTATTGTACACATTATATGTCCATGCGTCCTCGATAATCTCCAGGGTATACGTTCCGATAAATCTCCACTAGGTACGATCGTTTGATTGTACTAGGGTACTAGTGATGTTCATGACAAAGTTTAACATACACTGAATATTATTTTCCTCCGTGAGATAGTGTGCGGGTGTATTTTCCCCAAAGTATAATAGTATTGACATAATTATAATAGTGAGGGAGTGAGTTTAGTTTTACGCCGCTTTTAGCAATATTCCAGCAATATCATGGCGGGAGACACCAGAAATGGGCTTCATACATTGTACCCATGTGGGGAATCGAACCCGGGTCCTCGGCGTGACGAGCGAACGCTTTAACCACTAGGCTATCCCACCGCTTCCATAATTATAATATGTAGTAGTAGTAGTAGTAGTAGTAGTAGTAGTAGTAGTAGTAGTAGTAGTAGTAGTAGTAGTAGTAGTAGTAGTAGTAGTAGTAGTTGTTGTTGTTGTTGTTGTACTGTATATTTTGTGTTTTTAACAGAGGGTATCAAATTCAGGCCAACTGAAGGAGGACAGTGTGTATATGCTGAAAGATCGGGAGTAGCAGCCTCATTTAGTCAAGTTAATCAGACTTTGTGCGACAGAAGAAGAAGATACGCTTGTTCCGCAAACAGTATGTGTATTTTTTAATTGTTCTTTAGTTTATTTACCATATTATAAAAATCTCTTATTTGTTCTATATTGAGATGATACTGTCAAGATAACAATACCATTCTAGCAATTCCATATGGTATCCAGAGATTAATGTTTGGTAGACATAACGTTACAGACAACCCGACCTGAAGGAGATTACAAACAATGGTTACAGAAAGGAATACACCAAATAGGTAGGCAGATCAAGCAGAAAAGAGTGTCATGATCCTGGCTACTATATCTGCTGCAATAGCTTCTGGCTACTGCGTAAGTCACTGAGTAAGACCCAGAGTAAGTCATTCATAATGAGAATAAAAATTGTGTATTGTCTGCTGAAGATTTTTAGTACTTAGATGAAACTTCCAAATAGCTAAGATGCTAGTGTTAACATGTCTGTCTCCTCCAGAATATGTATTTTGGAAAAGAAAGAAGTTAAGCTACTGGATAAGTTTTGCATGTTATCTTTTAACCTGCTATCAATATACTGCCTTCGGACCATGAGCACTTTCAATTACAGCTAATTTAATCCACGTATTTCAGGATTTTGAATCCTGATGAAATGAAACCAAGCCGATAACAGAAAGATGCAATGTGTTTCAGGTACATCGTGGATGTACGGAAGGTGTTCAGGGGGCATCTGTATCACACAGAGGCAATATCAGAAGAACTGGGTAGATGCAAGTGCTGCATGTTCCTTGGTGAAAGTTACCCCCTCCAACAAAGATAACTTCACACTGGCCATGCACACCGGGGTCGAGGTGACCTACTGGATTGGTTTATCAAGACCACTTTCAAGTAAATGGATTAATGGTGAGAATAGTGTGCGATTAAAATTAAAGAGAATTTTTTTATCAAAACATGTTTTTACGCTTCGGTGCTTCAACCAAGACGCGTGTTTAAAATGAAAACTCGACGATTGATAGATGCGTCTTTTGCAGTCACAGTTAGTATTGATCCAATAATATCACGGAGGCAACGTCTAAAACAGTTGGGTATGGCGACAGTCAGTCGACCAGGTCACAAACTTCATTCGGTACCTTCATTACAACTATACTTACTCGTGAGGATCCGAGTTAGGATTCGTCTTCAGCAGCCCATGCTTGGCGTAGGAGGCGCATAATGGGATCGGGTGGTCAGGCTCGCTGACTTGGTTGGTCATCCTACCCAAATTGCGTAGTTCGGGGATCATGTTGTCAATCATACCTAAAAAGTAATAAACAAGTGAAAGAACTAGGGGGTATGGATATGATAAAACTATAAATGAATAACAATGATAGGTCAAAGTCATCCTCCATTATCAAGGGTCTAACCTCCCTGATTTTGGATAAATATCCTAGGTCGTTAAAGCGTCCATCTGAGGTGACATCAAATGTTTAAAACTCATTTAAAACTTGAGGAATCATTCGCCCGTGAGAGTAATTTCATTGGACGGCTATTTTTAGCGTTGTTTCGGAACCAGTCGAATCTGTGATAGTAAAAAAGTAGACCCTCGATATTTATCTTTGATATAGTGCAAGACATCGATGATGGTGACGTGTATACTGAAATCTCTTGATAAGACAGCATCATTCATTTCAGGGACGATGTTTGCAAGGTACGGGACCGCCTTTCCGGACAGCACCGGACCCATGTGTCTGGCTATGATAGCGAACAGGGGGCTGAACATAGACCGACTTTGGGTTCCTTGTGAAATGCGACATCGATCAGTATGTGAAATAGGTATGTTGTTTATCGTAACAGGGTTCAGTAGGTATGTTGTTTATCGTAACAGGGTTCAGTAGGTATGTTGTTTATCGTAACAGGGTTCAGTAGAATGTGTACATACATGTAAACAATGTCTGGGTTTAGTAGAATATTCACATACATGTATACAGTGTGCGAAAAGCCACTGGCCCGCTAGCCCGTGGCCAATAAAAATCCAGTCCGGCCAGTATATCTCCACGGTCACTGCCCGATTGGCTATAGTTATAACAAAGTTACACTGTTAAATCCTCCAAGTTTATGGCCCGATAAAAATGTTCATCATATTAGCAACTTAATAATGAAACCCCTGTCTTTCCGATAATATCTTATTCTCATCTATTTTTGTAATCTTTTGGTTAATGTCTACATTCAAATTACGGGTTAGTAAATTATTCTGTGGGCTAGTAACTTTCAGGCATAGCTAGCCCAACTGGCTAGCAAAATTTGGAAACACTGCATGTATACAATTTGGGTTTTCAGTGGAGTATTAAGATGCATGTATACAATGTTGGGATTCTGCGGAATTTTAGACACAGGAAAACAATTTTGGATCCAGTGGAGTATTTAGGTACATATATAGAATGTAAGGGTTCCGTGGAATATCAGATATATGCGAAAGATTTTAGGGATCAGTAGAGAATTTAGAAACTTGTAAACAATCTTACAGTGAATGAAGCATAGTGAATGAACAACTAGACTATAGATGCACTGGTAATCTACAATGTTAATGCATTTAAGAATCTGTTGGGGTTTCTTTCCAAGTATATGAAGGCAAGTAAGAGTTGTCTTGCGCCCGTTTCTAAGATTTTGACGTGGTACAGTGGTCAGAGCGTCAGCCCGGAGAGCGGAAGGTCGCGGGTTCGATCCCCGACCGCGTCATACCAAAAGACGTTAAAATATGGTACTTGTTGGTCCTGTCTGGTTCTCGGCATTAATGGGTACAACAAGGACTGGTCGGCTCGGAGTCAGTATAATGTGTCTGAGTGGGGTATTCCTGCTTCACTGCGGCATGGTATCTCAGTGGGCTAGCACTATAAAACCAGCTTCAGTCTGGGCTAGTACAAGCAGCCGCACATACACATACACACGCATGCACGTCGTCATATGAGCGAAATATTCTCAAGCACGACGTTAAACCCAATTTCACCTCACCTCACCTTTTGCAACCTAAATTGTTTATGCATGTTAGTTTGATTTCGTTTCGGTTTATAAATAAGATCAAACTCTTCTACTCGTTTCTCAGATTTATCGCTCTTGGGTGAGGGTTGAATGAAACGTGTATGTATCAGTGTGTAATTAGATGATGACGCTCAGCGTTAATTGACAGTGTTAGTTATAGACATGTTTGTGTCACGAAACAGCAACAACTTCCTCCATACCACCAACAACATCATCTTCATCAACGACAACATCGGAGATAGAAACAACTTCTTCCATACCACCAACAACATCATCTTCATCAACGACAACAACGGAGATAGAAACAACTTCAGCGTTGGCGACGATGACAGAGATGTTCACAAGTGAAGAAAGTTACGTGAATGTAACTGACGAAGCTGACGGCACCGAGAACAGTACCCTGGCGCCCCCCTGGTGATCGTGGTGAGGAGCTGTAGTAGCTATTTCATATTGCGGTCAATATATAGTTTTAACAATGTCCAAGTACTTTATTGTCGGTTCGAGTGGTTTCCGTGTACCCATATCGGAATCAAACAAACACCTGAGGAGGAGCGACGAGCTAACACTGTACATAACTACTAGGCTCTCCCAAACATGCAGACTGATGAATGATCCTGAATTATCTCTAATGAAACCCACGAGCATGGGTATGAATGAAATAGGACGAACTGGGATTCAAACTCACAATTATCGGGTTCTGGTGTGTCCAGGGGACGTAACTCTGCACATCTTACTTAGGCGCCTTAGGGGACTGCCTGTGCTGCCGGTGTTTGAATAGAAAATGTAAGGTTCTTTACAACCATTCAATTGTTGTTTTCCAAAGTACAACCTAATAACATCATGTACTAAACGAAATACTGAACTCCAATATTGACTAGACGAAATGTTACATTGCAGCTGAATATTAATTTAAAATTAGCAGACCAAAATTAACAGACAATAATAGAAGTTTGGAAATATATAATATATAAGTTCTAATTTAGTATTTCTTTCACAGTTTCACCCAAGGCGTGATATACGCCTATATCACGATGTGTATTTGTCTTACCCCACCTTTCGCGAAATCTTGTTATTTACTTTATCAATAAGTGATTCATAAGCACATACTGATGATATAGTCGGACTCTGCTTTTAGAAGACATATCTTATGAATATTAGCGTTTTGCTCTATATTTACATCAACATTGTTTTCCAGGGCTATTCATAGGGTTAGCTGTTGGGTGCATCATACTGCTGGTGGTTGTAGTCACAGTGTTCATGTTCAGGTAAGTTAGGTTAACAGTCCTTTAGTTCAGTTAAGTTAGGTTAACAGTCCTTCAGTTCAGGTAAGTTAGGTTAACAGTCCTTTAGTTCAGTTAAGTTAGGTTAACAGTCCTTCAGGCAGGTAAGTTAGGTTAACAGTCCTTCAGTTCAGGTAAGTTAGGTTAACAGTCCTTAAGTTCAGTTAAGTTAGGTTAACAGTCCTTCAGTTCAGGTAAGTTAGGTTAACAGTCCTTCAGTTCAGGTAAGTTAAGTTAACAGTCCTTCAGTTCAGTTAAGTTAGGTTAACAGTCCTTAAGTTCAGGTAAGTTAGTTTAACAGTCCTTCAATTCAGGTAAGTTAGGTTGACAGTCCTTCAGTTCAGGTAAGTTAGGTTAACAGTCCTTCAGTTTCATCCAACCTTAAATAGTTTTACGATTTACAAACTTGCATTGAGCTTGATCCTTAATTATATATATCTATTTAGTGACCATGTTAATGTAATGCACGCACGCACACACACACACACACACACACACACACACACATGGTAATATGGCTTCTTTAACTGAGTTTGAACCCGACATACGACTCAGTCCAAACCGCCCTGGTACTAACAGTGTGTAAATGTCTCCTTCAGTTTAATTAATGAAGTTTGTCTTACCGTCATGTATACGGTACATACGTCTACAACGCCATACACTCATATTTCATTATTTTTTAGACACAAAAAATGGTGCTTCGCAAAGAGAGAGGCAAGTTTGAACCACTGGACAGCGCAGCCGTGGAGAATGAGACCTATGGCTTTCAGTTTGCAACAGCCACGGCTACCCCAGCTGTGGCATCCCAACAGCATCCAGCCTATCCACCAGCATCTGCTGCATCCCATCACCACCCAGCAACCTCTCCACCACCATGTGGAGTAGGCAGAACCAACAATCCCATCTATGACAATCCCGCTATCACTAATAGGCCCTTGAATGCCAAGGATGAGCATCGCATACCCACAAACGGCCACTACAGCCAGGTTTCAGTAAGAGCCGGATCCTATCATCATCTAACAACCTCCCCGCCACCACCATGTGGTACTGGAAGAACAATCAATCCCGTCTATGACAATGCAGCTATCACTAATATGCCCCTGAATACCAAGGATGGGTCCCGTTTACCTTACAACAGTGAACGGAAAGATCCTTCCGCGCATGCGTATGACTATCTAGCTTCTGATCAACATTACCAGGCTCCCCGAGACGGAGGAGTGGTTGACACTTCCACTGATGTATCGGGGATTAACGACACCGGGGCAACTCGCGGCGACGACTACAACCACATCACCTATGAAGCAGACCGGCCTAGATACAAGGGAGACTACAACACTGTCGTCACCAGAGTCGTCCCTGATTCAGATGTCGGAGAAACTGGTGACGTATACATGCAACCGATTGCTGAAACCGACGCCGACGTCAACGGATGACAGTAATTCGGGCATCCAGCACTGCATTCGTGACCAACTCGTGTTATTCCGGGACAAGACGAATAGCTTTTCTTGGAGGTTACGGAAAGGGGCGAGTGGTGACGAATGCTGCTGATCATGCGGGGTTTCCACAATGAAGGGGCGGTAACTCACTGTGTATATAGTCCACATATCGATGCACGTCAGACAAGTGTCAGGAAAGTGTTAATTTATCGCTTGTTGTCAAGGTGTTGGGTCGTCACTTCCTATGGTATTTAAACGTTCGGTGTTCTCATACTGATATGGACGGCACATTGGTAATTCTGCGTAAAAACACCTCACTAACTCAACGGGTGAACCAAACATGAGTAAAAAAATCATTAAAACAACTGTGTCCTACAGTTTCTGATGTCTTATTCTGTTTTGGTATTTGTTTCATCTGAAACAGTTATTGTGTTTAGTTTACACTATGAGTCTAAAAATATAATTTTCTCTTTCTTAAATCTTGCAGCAGTGTATTTGGATGGCAAACATCTGCTTTTGAATCCATATATTCATATTCGAGAAAACATTCCTACTCTCTCAGCGACTGCATTTACGTTAGAGACGTATATTGTATGATATTTACCAAATCTAGGTCAGTCAGACTAGTGGTTGATAGCGTGATCCCCATGACGCAGTCAGTCACAGGTTCTGACCACCGGATCTTCATCTCAAATAGTTCTTACGACAAGCATGGCGTTCTTGCATGACACATTCATGAAGCCATTGATATTGTTTGTGGCAATATATCCACCACTTTCTGTGACAATATAACTTTATAATGATGTATTGTTAGTGGGTTTCCTTCAAACATACTAGTTACAGTTTACTGAAAACTACTACAGATACTTTATTGGTGCTACGTGTTTAATTAAAATCCTATAGAGTCTTACATCTTAAATAGCCTATTGTTCCTGAATAAAACATTATTGCTTTGCACAGTTGTCATTATTTTTCCGCGTATGTTTACAGGTTCAAATAACCGGAAATATTCAAATGTTTAGAGAATTAGTAATGAGCTAAGCTGTACATAGTATTTGTTCCGAATGAACTTACATCTCCATTCTCCGTCCTTGAAATATTCATCGCATTTATTGTCATAGAACATCCTGAGTGACCAGTAGGTGGGTCTGTTCATTCAATACATATTTCTGAAATAACATGTCCCTTAAGCTGTCGTCCTTGTCATGCCGTCGTTCTCTTGTTTAATCAAAATAATGCATGTGGTAAAACAATCTGCACCCCAACTCTCCGCTAGCCAGAGAAAGTAGCTCTGAATGTGCGCTTTGACATAGAGAAACATGACACCCAAACACTAAAAGGCACTAAGTGTAAGCATTGACGAGGACAAACATGATACCTAGCTGAAAGAGCCCTTTGTGTACACTTTGACTGGCACACCCATGACACCCGCCAGGAATAGGTCCCCCAGTTACGCTTTGAGGTGATAGCATAAAACATTCTTCTCAATCACCTGATGAAGGGGCAAGGAAATGCCCAGAAACATTCTATATACAATAAAGAAGTTGACATCCATAATAGTCTACAATTCTTAAACCAGTAGTGAACGTCACAGCTCAAGATGATGTTTTGCAAGATAATGCAAGACTGAGCGAAAATTATTTGCTGTTTGGAGTTCGAACCTTGCCAGATACATAATATCTACAGGTTCTGTATTTTCTCAGTGGGCGAGTCGTTTGAGGACCACTCACCATACACGCCGCTTACCACCGAGAGGAACTGTAGGTGTATAGGGGTAGTTTTACAGGAAGCGTCTCATCAGAGAAAAAAGGCATGTCCAACGTTGATACTCACATCCTTCATGCACATGAGATCCGTCTTCAGCAACCCATGCTTGCCACAAAAGGCGACTATGCTTGTCGTAAGAGGCGACTAACGGGATCGGGCGGTCAGACTCGCTGACTTGGTTGACACATATCATCTGTTCCCAATTGCGCAGATCGATGCCTATGCTGTTGAGCACTGGATTGCCTGGTCCAGACTCGATTATTTACAGACCGCAGCCATATAGCTGGAATATTGCTGAGTGCGGCGTAAAACTAAACTCACTCACTCATGCACATGAAATCGACTGCATACGGTTTCAACGACGCATGAACTCGGTAACCTTTGTACAACACATTGTTTCGATAGACCCGTGAAGATCCGGGTTAAAATTGGCCTTCAGAAAACCCATGCTTGTCGTAAGGAGCGACTAACGGGATGGAGTTGTCAGTCTCGCTGACTTGGTTGACACATGTCATCGTATCCCAATGGCATAGATCGATGGTCATGCTATTGATCACTGGATTGTCTGGCCCATTATTTACAGAACGACATTTAGCTGGAATGCTGCTGAGCGCGGCGTTAATCAGCAAACAAACGTGAATGTTGTAACCTAAAAAACAACTTATGGACAAGGGTCATATGAGCTCTTGACTCGATCATCTACTGACCGCCGGAATATTGCGTGTTAACCAACCAACCTTGTTTCGATAATTGCCAACAAGTTTCCGTATTTTCTGCTTTCCCTATTTCACGTTTAGCCTTCATCGAGTTACCATGGCTGTCAAGTTAACATGATTGTATACGTATCTGGGTTCTTGAGACCAGGATCGATCTGTGACAGTAGGTGAATGAGTGAGTTTAGTTTTACGCCGCTTTTAGCAATATTCCATCAATATCACGGCGGGGGACGCCAGAAATGGGCTTCCCTATTTGTACCAAGGTAGGGAATCGAACCCGGGTGATCGGCGTGACGAGCCAACGCTTTAACCACTGACTACCCCACCGCCCCTCGATCCGTGACAAGACATCAACTACTGCCATGGTGCTCTGTGCAACCGGTATCACTTTTTTTCAGTAATCGGTTAGGAACCCAACGTTTCATTTGTTTCAACATATCTTTCATATTGAAAGACTGGGCACAAGTATTCGAGACTGAGAGTTCTCTGGAGCTGACAATTTGATTTATTTAAAGCTATGACCTCACACTTTAGGTACAATCGTCCTATTTACCATAGCTGTGACAGAACAGTACATGATATAGGACACTACAAGGTCAGGACAATGTCTGATCTCATGGTTTGTTCCTGAATAGTGTGTTTCACTAAATCTTCACTGGGTATGCGAGTAATCCCACAAACAGACTCACGTGTTCTGTGTTTAAACAGCTCTTGATTTATTCGTTTCATAATCGCTAAACAAACAACACCCGCCGGCAAATGTCACCTAAATCACCACTATCGTGATTATTACAACAAACAGCTGAAAGTCAGTGCTCTGGTAAAAAGAAGCAAAACCGAACCTAAGGTTCGTATGCATGCTGAAACGAAATATTTGAATAATATACTCATAGAAACGAATAAGGTAACACATGAACGTACAGGTGTTCCTTTATTCTTTCTCAAGTTTCTCCACAAGGTGTGTATTGCACTGTGAGTGAAATTCTGGAAACGAATAAAGGAACACTTGTACTATCATGTGTTTCCTTAATCGTTTCTATGAGTATATTAACATATATATTTGCCAATGTAACAAAACACTATCAAACAACCAACGTGTTTATTATAAATATCAACGCAAATGTCATACACAAAACAAACTATTAGTTAAACTGTCATCACCTGAATTGTTCATTAACTTTCGCAACTTGAAATAAATGAATGAATGAATGAATGAATGAATAAATAAATAAATAAAAATACCCTTGCTTGCACATACCTGCAGACCACGAAGTCACAACATTATACATGTACAATCCAGTTTTGTAAATGGTCCTTTAAAGCTAACATTCCTACGTCTCCCCAGAGAGAGATTTAAAAATAGCTCCAATACCTCACGCCCTGTTTTGGTTGATATCGACCAGAGGTCTGATTTTTGTGAAAGTGGTTATCTTAAACGGGATGTGAGATATTGCCTACTTTAAACACTTGTTCCTCTATCGTCAACCTCCTGGTACAAATCAGATGAAGTCTTTCTGGAACAAACTACAGTTATCTTGTTGCTCTTGGATGATGGTACTTGCTTTCGTCCTCTGTGTGTGCGGTAGTGTCGTACTTGCCGATCAACTGGGTAAGTACTGACCTTTCCATTCGTTATATGTTACTTACAGGTTACCTATACCAGTGGAAATTGTGGCGTTGTGCTTTGATGTAGTGAACATGTATATCATACCTTGTTGTTAGCCATTTAGGAGTTGGGTACTAAGTAAGGTTACAATACATGGATGAACGACTTCTTTATTGTATCGTGTAGGTACTACAGCAATCAAGTAATTGTTCATCCATATATCTTTCCTTCCTATGGTTATATTAATTCCCTATGCATATGATCCCCATCTGTCATATCTATTTCAGGCTATTTTAAACACAGAAGAAAATGATACTGTTTTGAAGGAAAATTTAGACGAGCATATACAAATCTGAACATAGAGATTTTTCTGGGTTACATCTTCTTTTTATTCTTGAGTACAACGTTTCAGGGCTTGTTCTGGCCCCATCATCAGGTAAAACTGAACAGTTCTTGTTCTGGCCCCATCATCAGGTAAAACTGAACAGTTCTTGTTCTGGCCCCATCATCAGGTAAAACTGAACAGTTCTTGTTCTGGCCCCATCATCAGGTAAAACTGAACAGTTCAGTTTTTACCTGATTCAGTTTTACCTGATGATGGGGCCAGAACAAGCCCTGAAACGTTGTACTCAAGAATAAAAGAAGATGTAACCCAGAAAAATCTCTATGTTCATCAAATAGCATCTTCTAAAATGCCAATCAAGCATCTAATATACAAATCTGTTGTTCCATAAAGCTGATATTCTTATATGCCAGAATGAATTATTGTCTGTTGAAATATGTTTCTCCACTAGGCTAGAATATTAACAAATTAACATAAATTTAAAGAATAATTATGTATATTTCAGAAATGTGAAAATAGCTAATATTGAAGATAACAAGTAGAAAGCAGTGACTTTATTCCGGTCACACACACGCTATGACAATAAAGCTGACCCTTCTCTTCTTACATGTACGGATGGGCGTTAGGTTATCTCCTGAACTACCATTTCATTACAATCATTCATTTGTTTGTTGTTGGAATGCGCATCTGGCAGAGCATTTACCAATTGTTTTACATTTTCCGTTTGTCAGTTCAAAGTCAAATTTAGGA